GCCTCAACCCTGTGCCCTGGCTGATGCTTCCTCCCCTCTGCCCCCCCAACTCAGGGTCCCCGGCCCGGCCCCACAGCTGAGCTGGCTCAAGCTGAGGAATTGCTGGAGCAGCAGCTGGAGCTGTACCAGGCCCTACTGGAAGGGCAAGAAGGGGCCTGGGAAGCCCAGGCCCTGGTGCTCAAGATCCAGAAGCTGAAGGAACAGATGAGGAGACACCGAGAGAGCCTAGGAGACGCCTAAGCTTCCTACCAGTTCCTACTTTACTTTCTAACACTGGAAACACTACATACCACCCACACTGGGCCTTTGGGTCAGAAACATCCCAGCCCCTCCCAAGCCACTAAGAAAAATGGAAGACACCTCCACAAAGGGCAGCAATTGGGAAGTAGCAAGGAGCCATGGCCTCTGCATTCTTAGTCACATCTCCCTCCCCTCTGACCCCTTGTCATCTGACCTGGGCCCCACAGCAGGGCACACAGTCCTTATAGGAATATACACTGAACCATGGTCCAACCTCACCCCAAATCCAATAAAGGGATGGAACACTTACAGACACCACAGACGCATGTGTTTTTTAGTTTTGTTAAAAAAAATTCAGACAATTCCGGAAACAGGGGTTTAGGAGTGGTGGTGATGCAAAAGGGGGAAGCCATGGGGTGGGGGTGGGGGTTATCAGGGGTAGGTGGCAGTAGTGTCTCCTTCACCCCATGCCCGCTGTCATCTCCTGAACAGGGACAGACTGTCACATTCCAAATAGGTTGGTGAGTCCTCTACCGCGTCTGTTCAATGTAAGAGGAAATGTCTATCTCATCGGGCAGCTCACTAATATTGACTTCAAATCGATCCTGCATATCATTGAGGATCTTGGCATCATTTTCATCTGACACAAAAGTGATGGCCAAGCCCTTAGTGCCAAACCGACCTGCTCGGGCCACCCTATGCAGGTAGGTGTCAGAATCCTCAGGCATGTCATAATTGAAGGCAATGTTCACCCACTCATTATCCATGCCTCGGCCAAATAGGTTGGTAGCCACAAGAATTCGTCGTTGAAAATCTAGAGTTGTAAAACTCTAATGTTTATGCACTATCAGACATAAAAATAAGTATAAGATTCGATAAACACTTATTTACAGTCAGGACCGTTATAGTCTATAATTTGAAAGATCAAAGACAAAACAATAAAAATACCTTAGCAAGCTATGCCAGCTGCAGAGTCTTGACTTGAAAACTCCAAAATATGTACTTAAAATATTTACCTCCCTCTCTACTCCACTGATAAGCCCCCTTTTACTCCCGGTTCATTCCTGGTCTGCCCATCCTAATTATTTAGGAAATTGAATTACTGATGCAGCAATTTATAAAGGAGTTCAATGGCTTCTTTAGGGGCTCAGGGTCACTGGTGCCCTAAATTAGTTTGGGAAACTTTAAAAAGGAATGTGAAGGCCCTAAGAGAATCATCTCAGCCTCATGCCTCAGCCTCGCCTGGGTTGCTTAGTAGCTTGCAGATTTGGAGCTGAGTCTCCAGGGATTCTGATTCAGTGAATCCAGTATGAGGCCTAGGAACCCACTTAAAATCAAAATGAAGGAGAGTCCACCTTTTTAACCACGGCCCTCTCTGTTTGATCATTCTTTGTGCTCTAGAGCTGATTTACCAAAATGCAAGTGTGTTTTCATTGCTGAATTGGAAATGACTTGAGATATCTCCTAGGAATAGGAACATGTTAAAAAGATCCCCCTAATGAGTTGAAGTTCATTGAAAGCGTGGTAGCAACGTCTTGCTTGACCACGCAATGACTGGTACATGAGCAACTAGATATCAAAGCATCAAATGAATGATTGCAACAATGATTCATATTTTGCCACATTAATGTTTTAATGACACTAAAAAATAAGGAAGGTTGCTTGGTCTCTCCACACACCAGAACTCTTCTAGATGCAACTCCTAATGGCATCTTTCCAGGATAAGGTTTAATTATTTGATAATCATATGTTTTGCACTGTCCTAACAAGCATAGTGAGATTGTTTATATAGATCCACTTTTTAAGAAAGGTGGAATAATATTATAAGAAGAAAATAAATATATTGCAGATCTCATAGTGTTTGATGAGAACATCATTTCTCAGTGAAGACTTCTAGGTACATTGCATTCACTGAATTTGTCTTTAGTATGGATCCTTTCGTTTTAAGAAAAGTTGTTTCTTTTGATTGAAGGCTTACCCATTTTCACTGCATTCATAGCATTTATCTCGATATGAATCCTCTGATGTTGCAAGGGAGGAATTCTTGGTGAGGGATTCCCCACATTCATTATTTCCATGGAAGTTTGCCTACATAGATGCTCTGATGTTTAATTTGACATGAGGTGTGTTTAATGTGCTTTTTTCCCATGTGTCTCACATATGTGGGATTTCTTTCTTGTAGCAACTGTCTGCTTTGTAATAGGAATTGATCTGACTCTAAAATTGATCTCATGTTTCCAAGGATTTCTTTCTCTCGGGGAATTGCAATTTGCTCCAACTTTACAAGCAATGTGTTCATCCCCAGAATTCTCCTAACCTGGAGAGTTTACCAGGTGAATATTTCTCCTAATGCTCACTTCCCAGAAGTGTCCGACTTTGATAGTGGTTTCTCTGTTTCAGATATTTTCTCATTATGGAATGGAGTGATTGCATTTAAATTGCAACTGAGAGCTGAAGATGTAGATACCAAATTTAGGTGCCAGCACAAAATACAAATATTCAAAGCGAATGTCATATTGATGGCTTCAAATTTGTTAATGCCTCTCAATCATATGTGAAATATGTAAAATATGTCTCGGAAATAATTTTGTGAATCATATTTTCTTGAAGAAAACTGTTTTGGAGTCTCTCTCCCTCCAAAAGAAGGTGAGTATGGAGGTATTGGCTATCTTAACATAAACCAGGTGAGGGAACCTTCAGTATCAGTACTAGGAAATTTAGTATATGACTCCTGCACTTGAGGAAATATAGGGTATCTTAATTATTGCTTGGGGCTAGGTATTCTAACAATGACTTTAACTGCAACTGAAAGTACACTTAAGATTTTACCAGAGAATGAACAGAACAAGTGGGAGCCTTTGGAGTTTTCATTCAAGAAATAGCAAGAATACCCCTACTGAGGTAAAATTCCAAAGGAATAGTAAGGAAAGAAAATTGAATTGTGTATTGATTAGCCCTCTTAACATTGTCCATGATCAGCATACAAGTTCTATGAATTTTGCATACATCAGTTTTCATCATCTGTAAGAACCCTTTGTTCTAATTTGATGATCAAATTTATTGTTAGGGAAATGCACAGAGCCTGTGGAGTTGTCTCCCATGGGAGCTTCTTTCTGGGTGAAATCCACAGATTGCAATGGTTTTGTTTCAGAACTTGCCAAATTGCTTCTCTTCTGTGCTAGGTCTTTTAGAGAAGAAAATCCCAAGACATCCAAGAGGAAAAAAAAAATCCAAATTGTTTTGCTGCCCTTTTATCTTTGAAAATGCAAGGTAAATGTTATGCTTATGGATTCTAGACTGCCTGAAATGGATGTCTTAATTGCCTCTGTGAAGACTGAATTTTGGGCTGATTCAGTTTTGGGAGGGGTTTGAAGGCAGTGTGCATAATGGGTTCTTATTTCTATCTGCAACCCGTCTCCACCAAATCAAGTGGCAACATCCACCTAAATGTTACTTCGTTTTGGACTTGAGAGACAACTTTTTAAAACATGTAACTGAAACATAGGAAATAAGCTATACAATTTTTTAACCAAAAAGAAACTTTCAATAGACACCTTTCAATCATGTTACTATGGATATACAAATTCTCTTCTCAGGAAAGACCCACAAAACCTTGTAGTGTGTTACTGAATAAGAATGAGAGTTAATCACAGTCTGTTAATTCCTTCTGTTTCCACTGAGCAAAGAAGGGATAAGTACATGTTCTACCAGAGGATTTTCAGATTTAGTGTCCATTTTCTCTTTTCTTTCTTTCCCTTCATAGGCAAAGTTGGATTCTCATAAGGCTTTCCTTCAGAGAATCCTAACTAGAGTTCTATGCATATATAGATAGAAATATGTTACAAGGAATTGGTTCACATGATTATAAAGGTTGGCAAGTCTCAACTTGCAGTATGCGATGGTAGCTAAAGACCAAGTTAAGTCAAAGTTTTAATTTTAGTCCAAATGCTGGAAGAATGAAGAATTTCCTCTTGCTCTAGAAGGTCTGTCTCTTGATTCATTGAGGACTTCAACTGATTTGACATTGTCCATCCACATTACGAGGGTTATCTATTTTGTCCAAATTCATGGGTTTAAGTTTTTATCTCATCCCAAAACACCTCCAAGCCATCACACTTAGAGACATGGAAGATCATCATTAGAAAACACATAAGTCAGCAGAATGCATGGCAAAATTTGAGTAGGAAAACCAAAATTTCATGCACAGGATCTGTGGTTGTTACTAATTTTGTTCGTTTTTTGTTTTGTTTTTTAAGGAGAAATTCTAATTGAATGGTTAATAAATCTCTTTCAGCTCAAAAATTTGAATGATAACAAATTCAGTAGCTATAAGTAATTTTGCAAATTATCCAAAATGCTTCCTTTCTTTTTTCACCCACATTCTACCTTTTGGATAAAGTAGGCCTTATCTAGAATTCACCTGGACGTTACTGTCTGTCCTTCTTATAAATGAGGAATTGACTGATAAAATTATAATCAATCAATTTTGCTATTGAGGACTTTTTAATGTTATCTATGGATTTCAATTACACATTCTTGAGTTTCTCATTATCATAAATAATCAGTGGTTTTTATAATCTACAGGGAGTACAGAAAATGTTAGAATTTCATAAATTATTTTAAAAACCAGAGAAAAAATTTTATCTAGTGATTCAAGTATGTTAGGTAGTGAATCTGATATTTATAAGGCTGGATGATTGACAAAAAAAGAAAAAGCTCTTGCACTTTCCATTTCCAGCAATATTCATTCATTTTCAGTATAAAATGTTTTTTTGAATCATATTAGTATTGCAATAGGATATTAGATGGCCTAAAGAAGACAATTTTGATTTATAACTGAGTACTCACTTTGACTAATGTGTCCTTTTGGAACAGTTGAGTAAATCTTGAAAATAATAGTTACTAATGCAGAAGAGCCCATAAACCATTTTTTTTTCTTATTTTCTTGGAAGCTTCTCTATGCTGAATAAATCTTAAAAGTGATGGAATTTTTAGCCTGTTGTCCCTTAAATGATGGAATTTCCAGCTTGTGTCCATTAACTGTTATTTTATATTTAATTATTATTTTTCAAAGTACACAACATTCATTTTTATAGGATAGGAATAGTTACTGATTTTGTCAGTATGTCAAGATAAAACAACAATAATATAACCGATCTAGCATTTCCTAATAAATAAATAAATAAATAAATAAACTAAAGCCTAAAAGTAAGTTGTAAATGATTCCTCTGGAAATAAATTTTGATTATTTTTGTAGGTTTGTAGGTAATATGCCCCAAATTAGATAACCATTTGGGGAGGCAGAAACATGATTTATTGATGTCACAAAATATATGAAGTGGTAAATAATTAGAAACTCACATACAAAAGGGAACATTTTAAAGTCTCCTAAAAATTGTTTTCAAATATTAGCAGAAATCAATGGAATGGATAATAAAACAATAAAGAAAATTCACAAACCTCACAGTTAATTCTTTATCTTTTTATTGTTTATTTTTTTAATTAGTAAATCCTAGAGGCACCTGGGTGGCTTAGTTGGTTAAGCATCTGCTTTCAACTCAGGTCATGATCCCAGGGTCCTGGGATCGAACCCCATGGAAGCCCTGTTTTGGGCTCCCTGCTCAGTGGGGAGTCTGCTTCCCACCAATTCTTCTGTCCTCCCCCGCTCCTTGCATTCTGCTTGGACTCACTTGCTCTCTTTCTCTCTCTCACTCTTGCTCTCTCTCAAATAAATAAAAATAAAATCTTTCAAAGACATGAAAATAAGTAAATAAATAAACCCTAGCAGACTGATTAGAGAAAAGAAGGAA